TGATCATTAAGGTGACATCAATGTTTGGTCCACCGAACGTCACATATTTTATAGAGATAATTCTTGATAATCAATTTATATATATGATGTCACAAATAAAATATGTTTGTGTAGTGAATGAAATTCCAAAGTCACATCATTATCAAAAAAATTACGGGATTGACACGGATTTGACACAGATTGACTAATGATTTCATGCCAAAATGTTTTTGGGAAATCCTTGCCAAAAAACCATGTCAATCCCCAATCACGTGTTTTTTTTGTAGTGCATTATTCGTCTTTTGTAGCTAGATATTGATTACGTGCCAATAGACTTCACTCTTTGCGTAAATTATTGAGAGAATTCCCTAAATTGGAATAAAAAATTGAAATTCCAAAATAGGACCATCATGTTTTTTATTCCCTGAATAGGAGTAAAGTTCTGCCAAGTTTGACATTACTAGGCTTTAAACATATCATTTCCCCCTAGATTTGGCAGAATTACTCCTATTAAAGGAATAAAAACACGAAAGTTCTATTTTGGACTTTCAAAACGTTTTTACTCTTATTTAGGTCAATTTCTATAAATTATTTCACATATTAGACCATCTCTATTCATGATCTTAAAAAAATGGTTTATCTATTTTACATCATTGCCATATCACATTTATTTAACTAATAAATTTTAAATAATCTCAAATCTTAAAACGCTTCGGCAACCATGATACTCAACTAATTAGTTTTTTTTCTAGACCATGCATTAAATGCAATTTAACTACAACCTAAAATAATCTGGGATTCAAATCTTGATAGGAGATTTTCTTTTTCAATAATCTCTCTAAATAATCTCTCACTCACAATTATAATCTTTAAATAATCTTACACATCATCCAATTAAATCTTAAATAATCTCATGAATGGGGATGCCCTTAGAAAGCAGACCGCCAATGTTTTTTAATACAAAAACCAATAAGTTTGAGTAAATGATCCCTCAAAAGTTTAGTTGTTAGTATGAATGTTTATGTATCTTTCTTATAAACAGGACCAATCTGATCTAATTTGGTAATTACAGTAATACTCTATTTTACTAGTATTATCTAAGTCAGATTTGTCGAATCTCATAATATAATCTGATTTGATTTTGCTTGGTATGCTTAAATTCTGTCAAGTCTTTTAAGTTTGAACAATTGAACAGGTTTAATCTCGGACTATAACCACTTCAAGTGGAAAAACATCCTAACTCCTAAGTACTAGGTCAGGTAATAATTTTTTAGAATTTCAAATAATTCAAATATAATTTGCTTGGATCTAAACATTAGGAAAAATGCTGAGCATAGAGTGGGACGCAGGGATATAATTTATGGAAATATTAGTGTATTTCAAACTTATTCATTTTCTAACCCTATTATTACGTATATAAAAGTGGAAAAAATCTATTGGTACACACTCTTACACACTGATGTCTGTGAAGACGTTTTTTTGTCTGTCCCAGACAAAACGTATTTGATAAATACGTTTTTTCTGGAACAGATAAAAAAACGTCTCACAAACATACGTGCATAAGAGTGTGTACAAAAAGTGTGTACCCCAAATATTCAAATGCTTGCAAACACAACCTATCCAACAGCCAAAAAACAGCCTAAGATTTGTTGTACCCAGTGCCGTACGAGTGTACCACAAATCTGGGACCAAGACATCTCTGACACAGCACATTGTGTAATACTTGTTCGCATATTCTAATGAACGGTATATTGACCTATTTCCATTAACATTACCTTTGGTCTGTACCCATCATATTACCTCACGTTTCTCCGATGCAAAAGCATATAACTGCACGTAGCTCGACCGGTAGAAAAGGGTGTCACAAGTATAATTCTCAGGTTCGAATCTCGATGATTGCGATGCGATGTTACTATGCTAAAATGCACAAGGCAACTGTAAGTATCAAAGTCAGAGCCTCACTCTTTATATGTCGGCTTGTGAATTGTGATTAAGGTCAATATACATCCTCCCATCTAACTGTCCGATCAGTGTTAGGAGGCCCTCAAGGATGGGGTGTCATCCTTTTTTTCCAATGCAAAAACATACATCATCACTATGTCACTAAAAAAAGATGACACCCCATCCCTGAAGACCCCCCAACACCGACCGGACGGTACGTTGAGAGGATGTAAATTGGACTATAATCACAATTTAATAGATAGAGAGTGGAGCTCTGTCCTCGGTACTTGCAGAGGCCTTATGCATTTTTAGCATATTACCCTCTCATCGCAGTTGGCGGGATTCGAATCCAGGATCTAGCCCTTGTGGCAGTCCATCGCTACTAATTGAGCTATGCTCACCCGTATATCACTATGTCACTATCCACACTGCGAATTGTGATTTTTCTCTTACCGCGGTCTTGGGTTAACTCCCAAAAAGGTGTATTTAGTTTGTAAACCTTTTTGCAAATATGATCATATAGAGACATAGAGTTATAGACCTTGGCTAACTCCGGTGACCGTGTAATCATTGCTTGACTGTTTCATCTCATCTCAAGCGGGTACTGTGAGATACTCTCTCCCTCCCATTTAAAGATGAGAGAATTCCCTAAATAGGAGTAAAAAAGTTTTGAAATTCCAAAATAGGAGTATCATGTTTTTTATTCCTTGAATATGAGTAAATTTATGCCAAGTTTGGCATTACTAGGCTTTAAAACATGACATTTTTTTTCAAACTTGGCAGATTACTCCTATTCAAGGAATAAAAAATATGATACTCCTATTTTGGAATTTCACAACTTTTTTGCTCCTATTTAGAGCAATTTCTATTTAAAGATTCTTGTCCACTATTCAAATTGTCAACTTAAATTATTCTTAATCTTTTGCTTTATATATCAAATTTTTATGAAATTTACATATTTTTTATCAGCCTTTGTAGCGACTTTAATGTAGTTTCTGAAAATGTAATTTTTGTTTTCTAAAAATAATCGAAGTGTGAACAGGGATCAAGTTGCTTTATCGTCAGTCAAACATCGTAAACTGAACTGAGAATCTCTATATGCGACGAAGGGAGTAGTTTTTTGTTGGCAACATAAGAACACGCGCAATGAATGAGGTAAGAGTGAACTCTTGTGCACGGTAGCATATAATCGATTATTCGAGGACTCAGATTCACTTTCCTCAAAGATTGAGGTAGGTTATTTAGAGCCCACTACAATCCGATGATGTCAGAATTATTTATGACTTGGTCCAAAAGTGGAATCTCCCACCCGAGGAGTCCCACCATAACTTGACAGGATGGTGGGGAGATGAATCACGAAGACTCAGTCAGCGTATCGGCGGTAGGCCTTATACACGTGCGCACCAGAGGTCCAACCTTATTTCAGGTTCTGTAACCTCCACACGGTCGCTGCGGGTTTCGAACCTCGGTCACTTGGTTCAATTTTCCCACCACTCGACCAACTGAGCTACCTGTGCGATAAAATTATTTAATGACTGAATTTCCCAAATGGGAGTAAAAAACAGGCTACATGCAAAATATGCTCTATTGCTTTGAATTCTCTACATAGGAGTAATTATGTGTGTTTGAACAAAAGCACCGTTGTAAGCCTACTGCCGCTATGGCTGGTTCCATTTTGTGCCGGGCACCGAAGCTCCATCATTGCCGATCACCAGACCCCCCAGGCCACCACAGGAATCCGCCACCGACGCCGGTCTGCTGCCAACAAAGGACCGACAAAGAAACTAATGGAGCAATTAATTATATTAGTTAATTATATAGAGGTAGAAAGGTAATGTTTAATCCTATTTAGGGAATAAAAAACACACACTCCTATTTGTGCAATTATGTTTAAATTTAATCCTATTCCGGATAATTTCTCTTATTTAGTAGTACATATTTGATATGAAGCTGAATTTGGGCTTGGAGGAAGAGGGGCAGGAGCCCCCGTGGGTTTACTAAAGGCGGGGACGGGCTTGAGCCCACCTTCGTGGGCTGGTTGCGGACTGTTTAATTAATTTTTATTCTTTTTAATTTTTCTAATTTGTTTCCTATTTTGAGTTAATTAAGATTTCTATTATTTGTTTCCTATTATGAGTTAATTAGGATTTCTATTATTTGTTTCATATTTGGAATTAATTTGGATCTCTATTATTTTGTTTCCTAGTTGGAGTTGATTAGGATTTCTATGAATTTGTTTCCTAGTTTGAGAATGGGTAGAGATGGGTATTTAAACCTCTTGTTAGGATTTATTCTTGCTTATCTATGAGTAAAATTGGAGTTTAACCTTTTGACTCTGGGCAACGATTTCTATCGTTGATTAATCTGAGCAATGGTTTATATCGTTGATTTTTATTTTCTGTTGTCATCAATATTTAAAAAACAATTAATGGTTGACTGATTGATTAAAAATATACGCTTAAACAGTGTATAAGACAAATATCAATTGTACATATTCAAAGAAAGTTATTAGAAAAATTTTCATGTCATAAACTCATATAATATAATGTTTAAAAAATCAAAATTAACATTGGCAAAAAAATCAAAATTAACAACCAAAAGTATATCACCAGCTAGCTAGGTGCATACAACATATATCACCAATCATAGACGGAGTATCAAGTAGAATGAAAGTGTGAAATACAGAGTACTCCCTCCGTCTCATTTACCATTTTCTTTTTAGGCAGCTTCTTTTAGATTAAATGTTCTAACTACCCTTCACTATCACTCACTTTTACATTTTAATGGATATCATTAATTCTCTCCAAAAGTCAAAGGACATGCAAAATATTTATTCTTCTATTAATTGAGTTCCTAAAATATCTTGTCAAAAGCAAACATCAAGTTCTATTTGGAACGAAGGGAGTACTACGTATTAAACTATACGTGGGATCACCTACTACTCCTCAAGTGGTAGAAAAAGGCTACTATCCATCTAAGTTATATATCACCCACTTCCCCCCTATACTATTGCAAAAAATTATGTATTATACCCATACTTTTTTGCATTATAAATAGAGACCCACATTCATTCTTTAGTCACTCAATTCAATGCCATGTCCTTCATCTCTCTTCAACTTACCCTTCTCCTTCCCCTATTATCTTAAGTGCTAGTCTTAATTAAGCGAAACCCTAATATCTTAGAACATTTTACCCAAGTTACTAGCTAGCTAAGTTACATATATAGTACATCTATCTTGATTCTTGAGATAAGATCTATCCTAAAATGTCCACCATAGTGTATCACCATCATCGCCAACATGAGAGAAACAATAATAGCAATAGTAATAATCCGCAATCATGTTACGAGACTGCGAGTATGAGACTGAGGGTTCCCTCATCCCTGTCTCCATGTCTAAACGTCCAGGAAGACGATGATGGATGGAGTTCAATCCAAACTCTCTCCTCTAACGCCATCGCTTCGCGTGTCCGTCGTCATAAGTCACCTTGCCGTAGAATGAGCGAAAAAAGTCTCGCCATGTGTACCGAGATTCTCGGGAGTGAAACAGGTGTTGATTTTATCGACAACGACCTTCTCTCGAGCTTGATTTCCTCCCACACGCCGCTGAGTATGCAACAAGACGATAAACTAATAAAAAAAAGCTCAAACATGAAGAAGAGAAATTCAAGGAATAATAACTTTCCACCTCCACTTTCAACAATAAGGGGGGCTACTTCTCTACACCTCACGTCACGCCGGGAAGGCGGCAAGTTGGAAATCATGGCGGCTGAGGTCCCGTCGAGGAACTCATTCCGTGAGGTCGACTCGAGCAATGGTCGCCTCAAGCTTTTCTATTTCAGTGACAATGAAACCAACATGGAGGGGAGTGAAAATGAAGAAATTCAAGGAAAGAATATTATTGAAGAAGATGGAGAGGAGAATGAATTGGGAGTTGATGTTGAAAAGGGAATAGAAAAATGCTTGGGCGGGAGCGGTTGCAAGGAAGGTGGACATGGTAATGAGGGGCGGTCGTCCCATTGGGAGAAGGCGTTGTTGGTTGCAATTTAAATAAACATTATTATTGTTGTTTTTGTTCTTATTATTGTGATCACAACTACAATTATGGTAATAATGATAATTATTATAATTCAAAATCGGGGTTCTCTAGCTAAGGCCATATTTAATTTTGAAAACTAGGGAGTACTACATATTCCAATTGTCCATCTTCGGATCTTCCATCTTCAAGACATGAACCTTCTTACACTAATATTGGGGGATTTTTATTTTTCTAATATTCTTTCTTTCCCAAAACAGGACATATAAACTTCCTTCTAGAAAATAAATTTTATTTCTTTATTAATTTATTAAAACAAATTTAGTTTTATTTTAGAAAGAAAATATATACTCAGTATAATTGCTTCTTAAAAAAAAAAAATACTCCGTATAATTGCCAGTTGTTTGCTATCTCCGTCTATGTTTTACTCCAATTTGTTACAATTTCTTGTTGTCTCTCTAAGTTACCTTGATCTCACTTTGTATATATACTATTAATGCATACACGGATATATTCGTATATATTACGTATAATATTTAAGTTCCGGCTAACCGGTATCGATAGGAATATTCTGGGTTTTGGACCGGACTATACCAAAACCAGTATAACGAAAATTCCCGGACCGAAGATGACCGGAGCAGTATGTAATCAGTTTGGGTCCAGCCTGTAATCAGAATTGTCATGTTCAATTCAATTTCCTTTCTGAACCGGATTATGTTCAACCCTAATCTTATCAAGCCATTTTTTTACCACACATATCTTTTGATTTAGCACGTTGAATTGTGTAATAATAAAAAGAGAAAATTGTAATTATAGTCGCATAACTTTTAGATGTGCCCATTATTAGTCTTGTAACTTTATGTCTTAGAATAAAATATATAAAAAAATAGTGAGATGCAGGTAAATTGGTCATAACTATGTGTTAGTTGGATTAATTTTATTCTATAACCAAATTTTAAGCAATACATATATAGGAATAATCACACTTAATTTAAATAATAATAGTAATAATATTTACTTAATGAAAGGAATCATACTAATGTTATCATTGAATGCAATAACTCTCAGGTGATTCAGACTTTGAAGGGAAAGGCACGACCAAGGTGGAAAGCGTATGCAAATTTGGAGCTTTTAAAGAAAAGTTTCAAAATCTCAATCTCAATTTTAATTGTATTCAAAAACCCTGTAATAGAGTTGGTAGATTCACAGCAAAGTACGTTAACTTGTTTGATTGTAACCCGAACATTTATAACAAGTTCATAGGCATTGACAAGTTTGATGCAATTAGTTATCCGTACATTGTAAATTCGGGTAGGTTCTGGCTCTTGTCCCCCTACCATGTATTTTTTCTTCTTTAATAAATATGCCTTTAAATTAAAAAAAAATTATAATAGTAATAATTGTAATAAAGTAATAATACACTAGATTTAGCATGTTGCGTAGTACGAAGTACTACGTATTACTACGTATGTTATACGAGTGCCTAATATTACTTCCGTAATGAACTTTGTGAACTTCGAGTTAGATTAGAAATAAGAAAAGTAAAAGTTGTGTTGTTCGATTTGTCTAGATGAAAGAGAAATGAGCAAAATCACAAATCAGTTGTTTGAATCGGAAAGTGGTCAATTTTTCTGATGGAATAGGGGAAAATTGTCAAAATCTAGCAAAATTTAAGATACTGAAGTAGAAGGAATTGGATAAAAACCTGCGCGCGCTGTACCTAACATCCAAGATAATCCGTATGTTATGCTGCTGTACGAGTGCCATATGAGTGTACCACAAATCTGGGACCAATACATTTCTTTCACAGCAAATTGTGTAAAGGTGGTCGCACCCTTTAATGAAAGTTATGTTGACTACTTTAATTTGCTGCCCCACCAATCTCCATTAGCATGACCTCATCAGTTCTGTAGGCCTGTAGCCAATCTCTCCCGTCACATGATCCCATGTTCCTGCAATCCAATCCGCACCGGTAGCTCAACCGCTAAAACGATGAGAAAGTTGGACAAATGACCAAGAATTGAAACCCGCAACGACCGTGTGGAGTTCACGGTTCCTAGCTATGTGCTAGGCTGGACCTCTGATGCGTACAAGTATAAGGTCTATCACCGCTAGGATTGGTTGAGTCACCGTGATTTACAATCTCTCATGTGCTCTGCTGGGGTCGGGGTGTGGGGGGCCCTTGGGGTTGGGGATTCAACCTTTTGGACAAATGTTTGTGCGATCCATATCCATATAGGACCATAACATATTCATTTCCAAGAAAATAGGATTTAATCTTTATTTTTCTAAAAATATGTAGTAGAATTTATTGTCAAGTACTTTGTGATCTGATGACATCATTGCTGATCTCTCAAAGATGAGGTCGCAGGTTCGAGTCTCACCTCAATCAAGGATGTTGGCATTAACAAGAGCAGATACTACAATAGGTTTAGAAGAATATTCCAAAAAAATAGAATTTATTATTTCTGATTAGAGATCATTAACTAAAGGGTTGGATCAGGATTGGCCACACCAGCTGTAATGAGTTCGGGTTGGAATGGGATGGGTTGGGCTCAATATATAAAAGCAAATTAAATTGGCGTGCCACACTTTATAATGAGTGAAAGTGTAGCTCTAACACGCCTATATAGTTTGGCTTAAGAAGTGAGGCCGGGCTGGACTATATATCACTAATAGGGCTTTGCTATATGGACTTATAATAAAAATGCAAAATTTATTTATGCAATACAAAATACAATGTAATGAATTGAACCGAGTGAAAAGAATCTATTACTTCAAAAAATGTAATGATAAATGAAAGTTCAAATTACGTGTATCTAAGTTTTTGGTGGTGCACTCTTGAAAAAGAGATTCACAAATACAGAAATATCACTTATTCTTCCTTATCTAAATTCTTTAGCTCTTTTACAAACTTTGTCACCTAAAACCCACCTAACGAAAATTTTACTCTTCTACTATTATTCATTACTTTTATATGTTACTCCGTACTAGCTAAGGATGATTTTACTTGGACTGTAATTTGCTGGTCTGGTCTGATTTATTTGTATTTTTATAACTATCCAAGTCTGATCTGGCCTGAACTGGTCTGGTCTGGCCTGGGAGGAATTACAGTCCAAGTAAAAACATTCTAATTATGAAGTTAGTGTATTGAATTAGTAATTAATGTATATTAAAAGGGCTTTTGGGAAGTGAAGTTCATCTTTAAGGCAAATATCGTATATGATCACAAGAAACTTTTATTAGGCTAGGCCGAGATGGGTCCTGACAGGTCTGGCCAATAGGCTGGGCCGAGTTTCAAATACCCTACCCGATGCTCATCCCTCGATCCATCTTTCGCTCATTACATATGTGTTTACACTTTACACTATAACGATGATACATCATACATGGATAGTTAGTTTTTGGCCAAGACAATGTTTAATCCACCGACGGTCACATTTTTTATAAAGATAATTCTTTACGACAAAAAAAGATGACACCCCATCCCTGAGGATCACCCAACCCCGATCGGATGGTACAGTTGGAGGATGTAAATTGGACTATAATCTCAATCTGACAGATACAGAGTGAGACTCTGTTCCCGGTACTTGCAGAGGTCATATGCATTTTTAACATAGTAACTCCTCATCGCAGTTGACGGGATTCGAACACGAGATCTAACCCTTATGTCACTCCCTTGTTACCAGTTGAGCTACGCCCACGAGTGATAATTCTTTATAACCAACTTCTATGATGTCCCAAATAAAATATGGTTGTGTAATGAATGAAAGTCTAACGTCACATTACTTGTCTTTCGCATAAAAAGTTTGTTTGTGCTTACGCATATAAGAGCATGCATATACCTGGCGGGAATGAACCCGTGTATCTTTATTTTGGTGATAAACTAGCTGTAATGGATCCAAAAAGGCCCCAGAAAGATTTTATGTACGTGTGCTTGTCTGGTTCATAGGTTACGTTTGATTTACTAATTCGTGTACCTAAATCATTCTTCTTTTCAATAAATAAAAGAGAAAGTTTCTTAAAAAAAGGATAGAAGAGCAAGTGATTACTCCACTGGTTGACTGTTTGCAACACTTAGCTTGGTCCAAAAGGTGAAATCTCCCACCCCAGGAGCCCCCCATACCCCGACCCGACAGGATTTTTGGGAGGATGTTAATAATCACAGTGACTCAGTCGGCCCAATGATGGTAGGCCTTTTTTCCGTGCGCACCAGAGGCCCAGCCTTATTTAAGGTTCTGTGACCTCCACATGACCGCTGCGGGTTTCGAACCTTGGTCACTTGGTCCAAATTTCCCACCACTGAATCAACTGAGCTACCCGTGCGAGTTTTGCAACGCTTAGCTTGTAGGTCGTTTGGATGTGCAAAATATCTGATCTCCCGCAAGAATAATACGTAGTACTAGCTAGTATGACATTGATGAATGCTAGTTTACTCACAAATAAGTAATCATATAATCCAATGTAATTTTTTCTATCGTTTTCAATGGAGTCAAAGATTCGCTATTTTTTGTGTGAGAATATAATAAAATAAAGCAAAATGATTCACTAAACTGTTTGCGCTTCTTTGTTATGAAGCAGCAGTCAACGCATGCAATTTTTTATGCGATTTTCACTTTGGGGCATCTGAAAACAGTCTCTCTGTGCTTTAGTGCAGGAGTAAGATTGCGTACATCCGACCTTCTCTTATGTTACTGTATCGTAGGTGGAAGCTTTTGCGGCACTGGAATGATGATGATGTACTGCACATAATGTAATTTAATTAATGTTTGCTACGTACCGATTCATATTTATCATATCTTCTTTGTTAAAAATTATGACACCTCATCCCTGAGGTCCCACAACCGCGACCGTACGTTGGAAGGATGTAAATTGGATTATGATCCCAATCTGACAAATAGAGAGTGAGGCTCTTCCCCGATACTTGCAGAATTACCTTAGTGTAACATATGATGCTTTGAACGACACATTAATAGAGTCTAATTTGTCCGTATCAAACAGACAAACATTACGTTACCCAAATTTTTGAATACTTTATCACCAAAAGAATATTTCTTTTATATTCCATCATCCCACATTATATCACTTTTTGTATTCCTCAAATCTTTTTGAATCATCAATCCTAGGACTTGCTCGCGCTCATTCCAACATTAAAGAATTATATTCTCCACACGATCATTGCGGATTTAGATCTTTGGTCAATTTTACATTTCTCATCA